CTAATATTGTTAACTAGTTAATAATTCAAATGATTAATGACATTAACGTTTTGCTTTTAGTTAATTAATTATTAAAATATTAATTGAGCGTTAGTAATTTTAGTGTTAGTGAAATTTAATATATTAATGTTCCTAAATATTGTGAATTAGTTAAATTTAGTGAACTTTAGTGAAATGTAATATATTAATGTTCCTAAATGTTAATTAGTTATGATTCAAAAGTTAGTTAATTGAAATGATTAATGTCACAAACGTAATGCTTTTAGTTAATTAAATGGAGAAATTGAGCGTTACTTAATGTTTATAATTTATAGTTTTTGTAATATTAAATTATTTTTTTATTATAATATTCAGGCATTATGTATAGACAAAATAAAAGTTGGATGTATGATAAACATGGCAAAAAAAGAGGAATGCGAACTGAATATTTTGAAGGAATTCAAGAGTTTATTAAATTTGCACTTGAACATAAGGATCATATGGATGGTGATAGAATCAGATGTCCATGTATCAAGTGTAAAAATCTCAAATTTAGAGACCCTAACGAGGTTGTGTGGCATTTGTACGAAAAAAGTTTCGCTGACAATTATTACAATTGGATTTCTCAAGGCGAACCTTTCGATCCATTACTTTTACCACATCCACTAGGTTCATCTCGTAACGTCCCTAAAGAGATGAGTGGTTGGGAAGATTATGCTCAAATTAACTGGGACCGAAGAATGATATATGATGTATATGGTGCCTTGACGTCTCAGTTTAACCCTCTACGACCATTTAACGATCCTCCTGAAGCCTCGACCTCGTATCAACCATATGCAGATGAAAATTTGAATTCTCATTTCCCTCACATTGAAGGTTTAGCTGAGAGATTTCAAGATGTTCTAAAAGCTACCGATCAACCTTTGTATGCTGATTGTGAGGGATACCTTCAGCTATCCGCCGTTTCAGAGTTGATGAACATTAAAGCTGAGTACAGTCTTCCAGAAACTTGCATGTCTAGACTATTGCAGTCAATTGGAGGAATGTTACCGGGTGACCACAGTCTTCCCGATTCATATTACAACATGACGCAAATAATTTCTCAGTTAGGGCTTCCTTGTATAGAAATTGATGCGTACCCTGCCGGATGTATGTTGTTCTGGAAGGATGATGAGACACTTGAGAGCTGCAAGTTCTGTGGTGGAGAGAGATACAAACTTGTTCCTCTAAAGAAAAAAACCACGATATCGGTGTGCATTGTCTAAGTTGTTTTACCTCCCACTAGCTCCACGTCTAAAGAGGATATATGCTTCAAATGTTACTGCGAGACACATGAGATGGCATGTTGAGAACGAAACCAAAGAGGGTTTGATGTCTCACCCTTCGGACTGTGAAGCTTGGAGACACTTTGACCGCTGTCATCCTCAGTTTGCAATGGAGCCACAGAATGTGCGACTGGGATTGTGTTCAGATGGATTCGCTCCTTTTGGAAAGTTTGGGAAGAAATTTTCAGATGGAGTCTTCGTCCTTACCTGAATGACGTGATCACCGTGCCTTTCGGCCAACTCCCTCTCCAGAGCGTTGATCTTGTGTAGGATCGCGTCGTAATTGGGAGGGTGGGAGGCGTTGGCCGCGACACTACCCGCGAGTTGTCGTGCCTCCATTTCGGCTAGGCGCTTCTCCAAGCGAGCAATCATCTCATCCCTCGGATCCCTTGTGGTCGTTACGACACCTTGTAGAGTTTGGAGGCGGGCCGCCCAGGCCTGATTAATCTAGTGGCGTGCATCTTCTTTGTGCAGTTTACCCTTTCCCTTGTCATTGTGAGGCCATTCCGCTGTCTAGGACACAAACCCAGACTTTCCCTTGGTGATCCGGGCTCACGGTCACCCAATCGCCCCGCCATCCTTCGCGTTATAGGCCGACGGCTCGTGTCACCCAGCCTGTTGAAGGCCGAGTTCATACCACGAGCTGGGGTTGGCTCCATACGAGGAGGGGAGGCAATGTGGGATGCCGTGTCCTGAGCGACGACGTTCTCATTGTTGCCGAGAAAGGTGACTACATGAGGTTGTGGAGGAGGTGGGGCCGTTGCAATCTCCCCAGTCTTAGGTGTGTTGTTCTCCCTCGTCCTTAACATGAGAGCGCTCAAGGCGGTGGGATTTTGGGCCAGGCTCACAATGATGACCAAGAGCGCAGCCTTTTGTCTAGTCTAATGCGGGCGTCAAGAAGGGTCTTGTTGAGCTGGTTGCAAAGTAGGGGTGGGATCGATCCGGTCTGGGTCGGATTTTTGCTAAACCCGGAAATTACCCGTAAGACATCGGGTTATGAAAATTAGGGACCGAAAAAAGCCCACTATATTCGGTCCGAGTCGGGTTTTTTGTAACCCGGGTTCGGTCCGGGTTCGGGTTGGGTCGGTTAAAGCCCAAATGTGGAATCACTCATTTTTCTTTTATATTTTAAAATCTATTTTCAAATAAAATCAATAAAAAGTGCAAACCGCAAATAAAATTAATAAAAATCACAAATATTAGTCTCCAAAATCACCAAGAATTCAAATCCAAAGAATACAATTATCATAATATTTTGTTTAAGATGCATAAAAATAAGTAATATAGGTGTTCTAAAAATGTTACTCCATATGAAATAAAATTGATGGATAAAAATGTGACTAAAGATACTATAAATATGTTTTCATGCTAATTACCGTAAATAAATTGAACATATTTATAGTCACTAAAAGTTATTAAGTCATTTTTTCGTCCATCATGATTAAATCATATATTAGAAATTAATTTATAAATTATATTGGTATATTATATTGGTTTTATATTAAGGTTAATTGTTTCGGGTTTTATCGGTCCGGGCCGGGTTATAGATTTTAGGGCCCGTTAAAGAGCCCAAAATTTCGGGTTCGGTCCGGTTTTTTTTTTATTCGGGCCGGTCAAAAAGAAAAACCTGGACCGATATCATAATTCGGGCCGGGCCAGGGCCGGTTTCCGGGTTTCGGTTCGGGTTTTCCCACCCTTATTGCGAAGGTCCGTAGCGAGATCAACGGCCTCTGGGATGGGCTCTTCCTCCATCACATTGTCGGCTACGAACTGATCAGCCCTTTCTTGGTCCTCCTGAGTCTCGGGGACAGTTCTGCTGAGGGCATTCTTGGACTTGGTTCTTCCCATTTTGTTTGAACGTGTTTGGTAGCTACGAAGGGTACTCACTTGATACGTTCTGCCTCTCAATGAAAGCACCAAATGATAGAGTATTAAATTATAGAGAGAAGTGAGAGCTAAAGAGAAGTCAGTAATTAATATTTATCAACCCCCAATAATTACCCCCTAGGGGGCTATTTATAGGAGTAAATGTGGATTTGGGCTCTTAGCTTTGGGCTTAGGAGGCCCGTTACAATAATAAGACCTCTTTTGGGCATAATAAGTCCACAAATGCGCTGGATTTATTTAATAAGTCCAGAAATGCCATCTGCCGGAGCTTCTTGGCCGATGCGGGTGCCAGGCCGAAGGGGTACCAAGCCGATAGGGAACCCACTTCTGCCTTGGGCTCTTGGGCCGTGATCTGAGCACTTTTGGTTTCAGCCGATGGGGTGCCAGGCCGATGCGATTCCACGTGGTGTCGGTCTTCTGTGTTTAATCTTCTGAGTATGCGGGTCATGGGGTTTGGGCCCATATACTCTATCATTATTGTTAATACTTTGTTCATGCTATTTAATTGATAGAAAATTTATATTCAAGAACGGTAGTAATTATATTAGGCCCATTCGAACGATACAATACGTGAACCGTCAATCCTAATTTCCTAACTGATAAGTAAAATAAAATTTACTTTTTTGAAGAATGTCTCTTCTAACTTCAAAAAATTATTTTTAGGAGCAATTTAAAGCATTTAGATATACTTTTATTCTTTCACTCAAATACGCATTATTTGTTTTTGCTCTCTGAGCAGTTTTAGTAAGTAGATTCAGACATCTCGTATAAAACAAATAGTCTTGCATTAAAAATGGGTCATCTATTCAAAGTAACTTTGTTGTAAAACTAAAAATGGAGCAGTTTTCGTTATTACATATCTGTCTTACATAAATAATATGACACTTTCCTCGCATTTACTTGTACTTATTTTATACCTATGCAGGGTAAATCAAATTACACTTGGACAATCATAAAAAAACATTTTGATAATATAATCATAAAAAAACATTTTGATAATATAAGTATCGCATTTCGTTATATCCTTCACTGACGTGAGAGTCGAGATCCATTGTTGAGAGTGCGGTATCACACTAAGTATCACATTTCGCTACATTCTTCATCGATGCGAGAGCCGAGATATCCATTGTTGAGAGGGATGGTATCATATGTGATCGTCTCAAAGCTCCCATAGCTCCCAACTTTCGAGATATCCATCGTTGAGAGGGCGGAATCATATATGATCGTCTCCAAAGCTCCCAACTTTTGTTCTTGACTAAACTTTCTCAATAGTTTGGTTTTGTAGAAAAAGTGGAATGTGAAGTTCGATTCAAGAAAAAATGTAGTTGACTGAAAAAAATGTAGTTGACTGAAAGTAATCAGACAAGTTACAAGCGTGACCAAAGCACTTGCCTGGGTTTTTAGTCATGGGTTGAAACTTGACATTGAGACCTGTACTTTTTTCCTCTATCCAAAACAAATTCATAGTTAGGATTAGTAAAATACTCGTTGGTTATATAATTGAACGAGAAAAAGATAAAATAAATACCTTCTTCTCAAAATAATTAACCAAATTCAAAACTTTTCACCTCAATATAATTAATCAAATTCAAAACTTTACAATTTTTGTGGAAGTGCCGATTTTGAAACACAAAAAGATAGTGTACGAGAATATTTTTGTGGAAGTTATGATTTGGCGTTGGCTGCCTTTTGAGTCTCCAAAATGTCTTTTTTTAAGTCTCCAAAATGTATCTTAGCTTGAACAAAAACACAAAGTTGATTTAGCACCACAATTTACCTAAAAAAAACTAAAGAACAGACAACTCAACGTACACAAAACAAAATATATCTACGGATTATATATTAAAGAAAACAAAATATCCAAACGGGTTTCATTTCAAGCACAACTTAAGAAAGCTGCTGGACATAGTGCATACATATGATAAATCTACAGCTCCTCATCGCGAAGTTTTGAGTTAGCGTTTTTTCCAACGGCTTTGTCGCTACAAACGACGTTATCCTTCACATCCCGCGCTTTTTCCTTAGCGTTCCCGAGATTCGAAGCTATTTTATCTTTAGCTGTCTCCAACGCTTCCCCGGCTTTGTTCTTCGCCGCTTCATACCCTTCCTTCGCTTTCTCCGCCGCCCAGCCCAAGTTCTCCTTCCCCTGCTCCCCTGCTTGTTCGGCCCTCTCTTTCGCTTCTCTGGCCTTCTCCGCCGCCATCTGCCTCCCCTGTTCCGCCGACTCCGATGCTTTCCCCGCAGTCTCCGATGCCTTTGCTCCGGTGTCTTTCGCGGTTTCGTACACCCAATCCTTAGCGTCCCCTGTTTTCTTGTAGGCTTGGTCGGCTGTTTTGGACGCAGTGTCTTTTGTCATCTCATAAGCTTTTCCGGCCACCTCCGAAGCTTTCTGACTTGTCTTCCCCGACAAGTCGGACGCCATGCCTTCAGCTTCTCTTGTTTTTTCGCTAGCCGCCCGCTTATTCTCCTCTGTTTTGTCTGCTATGTAGTGTCCTGTTCCTGCATTTGCATGCAAAATGAGATCGATATTCATATCTAGCTGAAAACTTCATAAAAAAATGTAGTTCCATTAAAAAAATCCTAATTAAAAATATCAATGCAGCAATAAAACTTATGTGCATGACTAAAATGACCTAAAATAACATTTCCTTGTTGTAACATTTTAATGTTACAAGCATGAACTTCAAACCATTCTATTTTATACTCCAACACTATACAAGTATGCCTACTACCAAGATGTCTGATTTTAACCATAAGTATATTTAATTCTTTATAAAAACAACAACATCACATCATCCAAAGCCTTACTTCTCTATTGCTAAAAAATTAAAAAAAAAATAGGTTTTGAATATCTAATTGTTTTGAATATATTTAAAAAGTGTAAAAATTCAGTATGTTACACAAAACTAGAACATATAAACAATATCGTATCATCCAAAGCCTTAACTTCCAAAAAACTATATTTAATTCTCTATTGCTAAAAAATTAAAAAAAAATAGGTTTTGAATATCTAATTGTATTCAGTAGGATATTTAAAAAGTGTAAGTGTAAAAATTCAATATGTTACACAAAACTAGAATATATAAAGAATGTTACACTTATTTAAGAAAGGGGAGAGACAAATATACATTTTAGTGCATTCCGTCCCACATGTTAGTGTTACAATGTCAACATGTTAGTGTATTCCGTCCCACAAAATTTTCCCGCTACCATACGTCCCACAAATTCTTCACATTCCCTTTTTTTTACTCAACCACGACAATATATTTCTACTTTATTAACATTTTCTTAGTAAGTATGTAAATTCAAATCATGAAGTATTTTTTGGGACCGAAATATTACATATGTAGTAGACTAGTAGTACTATGTATAACTCCCTCCGTCCCAATTTGTTTTGCAAAGTCGACATATTTTGGTCGACCAATAATAAAAGTTAATCCTCCCTATTGAGAATTAATTCATTTTTTTATAATTAAAATTTACATATTCATAAACTACATTAAAATCTCTTCAAAGTTGTAAACTCCAAATTAAAATATAACTAAAAATTGTAAACACCAAATTAAAATATAACTACATATTGACATTCTAATAAAGCGAACAAAATGAAACTGTTTGACCAAGAAAAGTCAAATTTGCAAATCAATTTGGGGCGGTGTAGTATGTCATACCTAGTACCAAGTATAGAGTATTTCGTTAATTACGGATGGAATCCACTAAAACAGTGTTTTTGTTTAGGCATGGAGCAAATGCAATCAGCGGGTGGCGATCGATTACCGGAAGCAGAGTCGGCGATTCTGTCTTTAACTTCTCCGGCCGCCCTCTTACCCTCCTCTGTTTTATCTCCTACGTACTGTCCTGTTCCTGCATACAAATAAGAATATAACACAATAATAAATACATGCACATCATTACCAAATTTATCATCCGGAAACGGATTGATCACCGGAAGCAGAGTCGGCGATTTTGTCTTTAACTTCTCCGGCCTCCCTCTTACCCTCCTCTGTTTTGTCTGCTACGTACTGTCCTGTTCCTGCTTATAAATAAGAAACAACACAATACTAAATACATGCACTTCATTAACAAATCACCTACAAAATAATCAGCCGGAGACGGAATGATCACCGGAGGCCGAGTCGGCGATCTTGTCCTTGCCGCTCTTCGCGGCGTCTTGTGTGGACTTCAGCCGGAGGCCCTCGGAGAGTTTGTCCTTCGCCCACTCCGTCCACGACTCCGAACTCTGATCTTTGTCCTCCTCAACGGCAGGATTTTTTGTCTCCACTTTGATATTAAAACGCTCTTGACCATGAAGATCGTCGTTACCGGCGGAACGAGTCGCCGTCGCCAACAGAACGATCATAACCACCGCCGCCGCCGCAGCGATGAATGCCGTGCGAGTAGTTTTGGGTGCCATGTTCTTAACCGTCAACTTCGAAAAGGGAAGGAAAACGAGACTTTGAATTTGGTAGTTTTCTTTTTCGGGAGTGGAAATTCAGTTCCGGAGGATTATACGGAGTATATCTCAATATATATACAAGAAGATGGAATGCTACGTGGCTGAAGGGTGCATGGAGAGAGAACACGTGTCGGTTGGTCATCTTCCAAGTGTCATTTGTTCATGGCTTCTAAGAAGCTAAAAGCCAGTAAGGTCAAGAAACATCGGAAATTCTCCATTCTTGCTTCCATTTCTTTTTCTTTTTTGGTTTATTGGTGACAATTACAAGAATTGAAACTAAGGTTTGCGGTGAAACTTGAAAGCAGTAGCTGATCCAGAGATTTATGGTGCACTAATAGTGAAATTCTTGGCCGGAAGCGGCACACTTATTTTACTATAATTAATAGTAGTGAAATTACTGGCCGAAAGCGGGGGCAAGTGCCCCGCTAGGTCTCTCCATAGATCCTCCGCTGCTTGAAAGTAAAGGTAGAAAATTAATCAAAATTACCACTTTTACAATACCCACCACTTTGGAACTTGCGAGTTTGAGATTTTATATCCCAACTACGGAGTAATTAATTAATTGCATAATTTGCATTCAGGCTTTGTTTTAAGGAGTAACTAAGGCTTTACTTCCCATTTAGAAATTTTTCTTCATGTTATGTGATTGGTGCAAAGTAAAAGTTTTTCAATATGAGGGGCAAAGTCCAATATCACCCAAAAAATTGGGTGTAGAGTCAAATTCCCCCATAAAATTTCAGGTACGAGATTGATAGCTTAATAAGTTTTATTTTAAATAAGTTTTTGATTTTAATACTCCAAAATATTTTTGATAAAAAAACCTTAAATGAAATCTATTCCCTCCATCCCATTTAAATCTTTACACTTTTCTTTTTGGAACGTCTCATTTACTCCTTTACGTTTCCTTTTTAGACAACTTCTTTTACGTTAAATGTCTTAACTACCCTTCACCACTCACCCACTTTTTATATCTGAGTGGATAGCATTAATTCCCCCCAAAAATCAAAGGGCATCCAAGTCATTTGTTCTTCTATTAATTGAGCTCCTAAAGTATAACATTAATTAAATGAATCATACTTTGAGGCTTTGGGGTTATATGTTGTTGAGATCATCCTGTCGTATCAACATAGTATTGCAAAACAAATCGAAAAAAAAAAAACAGAAACAGCGCAGGTAAAGCGGATGGATGAATGACAAAATGATGCTAGAAAATTGTAACAAAATGATATTATTACTATATGCCTACCTCCCAAAAAAATAAAATTACAAGAGTTGCCATTACATCCCTACCTCAAAAAAAAAGAATTGTATTAAACAACTTTAAATTAACCTAAAGTTCTCTATGCATATCAATCACCATTTCCATGGGAAGATATATCATTCACAAAACAAAAGCCACCTGCAGAAGGCAATGTTGGTCATGTACTTCCTTGTGGCACTTCTTCTGTTGTGCCTGCTGTTAGAAGTAGTGGGTCTGTCTGCTCTTCTCCCTTGACCAAATTGGTCTTGTTGACCTTCCTGTATTCACACAAGAAGAATCATTAATGGGGCATCTCTCATCTCTCTTTCCTTCCCATGCCATTCTAGCAAAAACTGGTGCTTAGCAATTACAGTGGCAGCCCTAACTAATTTCCTATTTTGCTGCTTTTAAAATCATGTTTTCAAACACTCAATAATTATTGAGGGTTCTCTTCAAAACATATAGAATATGACCTTTTCTATCAATGGTATAGCATATCCTCTAGACTTTTTAAAGCGAATTTTAGCTGCTAGAACATGGAGGGTATTTTTAGAATGGCAAATAACTTCACTCCATCCCAAAAAAGGGAATCGCGTTTGAGTAAGGTAACACCATTTTGTTTTTAGTCAACCCTAAAACGGATACCAATATTGTTTGATGTGAGTTGCCTAAAACAGTAAAACCATTTGCCGCGGCTTTATGTGAATTTTACTGTTTTTTTAAAGTTCAATTTTAAATAAGAGTTTTATGGGACAGTTTCTTAAAACAAGAATCTCTTATGGGGATGGAGAGAGTATTTACCGTTTAGGCAAAAACAAAAACGATCTCAATGTGGGTATTTCAAGATGCCTAAATATTATGAACCAGAGGCGCAAATGAAGAATTTAAAGCTGTCTCTTCTAGTCATATTGAGTGTCAACTGAACCACAGTCTGAAACTCACAAGTTTGAAAATATTTCTAGTAAACTGAATTTGAAAGTGCACTTTAATTTCTATTATACAAGCAAAATGCACACAAATAGATAACATATATAAATACAGAGTAAACTAATCTACACACTGAAGAAACCAGAGAGCTAATTTAAAAAGATGATTGAAAAGTAGACTGAAACACTTGATGGCTAATGGATATGAATGTCCATGGACTAGAAGAATATTCGAGTCAATCATATCACATTATAACCTACGAAATTATCCTCCATACACCCTCTGGTCTTTTTAGCCATTGCTTTAAGAAAAAATAATTGTTCTTTTAAAACTCTCGCTTTAGGCTATCTATCCATCTCAATTCATAAATGCTACACAGGACTTTAAAACATTAATAGCAGTACTCTAATCAAAATATAGTATAATCTTGTTTTTAGAAAAAAATACTGCTTTCTAAGTTACCTAAAATGACAATTGAAGAACGAAGAGAGTATCACACTAATAATTGCAATTGCAAATGAGTGAATGATGGAATATTATAACGAAGATTGAGTTGGGAAAACATATAAATTATCTGCAAACAAATTAAATTTAATCACAAAGACAGCTCTAAATACTTATGGTGAAAATGGAAGCTTACTCGCATGTCTTCTTGTTATGGCCTAGCCCCTTGCACTTGCTACACTGGAGCTGTCGTTTAATTATGTCCATAGGATCAGCTTGTTTCATCTTGGGTCGGCCAGGTGGCCTTTTATTTGGCGGGGGGGTAACTAAAACCACCATCTGCTGTTCATCAGTAACTACCAGTTTCTCCACATTAGGAACAGGGTTAATGGATTCCAAATATGTCAGCCGGTAACACTCGGTCGTGAAGTATCTGGAGCAATAATCATATGGACTGCTTCCAATCCACTCAAAAACGGCAATGGCGTGACAGCAAGGTATCCCATTAAGCTGCCACCCTTTACAAGTGCAATCCCAGTGGTCAATGTCTACAGAGTCAACAGTTTCACTCCTAACCTCAAAAGTGCTTCCATGGGATAATAACACCTGAAGTGATCGTGCCTTTGATATCTCATTCTGAAGTTTGTGTTCAATGACAGGTGTCAATTTCTCAACCCACTGACTCGACTCCACACGCCGTGTATAGATCAATTCCATCATTTTCCCCCTCAGAACGTCTACCATTTGAGTTATTGGCAGCTCGTTCACCTCCGACACCCAATCATAGAAAGGTTGGCCAAAATTACAAGTCAACTGGTCATACCTGGCCCCGGCAAAAAAAGCATTTGCCCAGTGGTCTGGTTCGCTCCTCATGACCCAATCATATGCTTCGGGTGAGATTGCTTTTATGTTCTCAGCACAACGATCAAATTCCTCGAGTTTCAGAGCATAAGCAGCAGCATAAAGATCCTGGACCATAAGCCGCCTTGCTTCGTGCGAAAATTGGCCTTTTAGATCCTTGTTTAGCTTCTCAGCCAGATATCGAAGGCAAAATCCATGGTAACAATCCTTACCAAATATATCCTGTAAAGACTCTCTAATCCCCTTTTGGAAATCAGAAACAAAGGTTATAGGTTGCGTTGTTAAGACTGCGGGTTTTAGTTCAGAGAGAAACCAATGCCAGTTATCATCGGTCTCCTCATCGACAACCGCAAAGGCAACCGGAAAGAAGCCATCGTTCCCATCTGAGCCTATTGCAGCCAATAGAGTTCCTTGATATTTTGCATAGAGAAGAGTGCTATCAAGGAATAGAAGAGGACGACATCCCTGCTTAAAACCAGATATTGAGGCATGAAATGCAATGAACAAATGATGGAAGCTTGAGTCCTCCTTTGTGGCAAATGTAGCCAGACTGCCAGGATTGGTTTCTATTATTTTCTGACAGAACAGAGGTATCTGAGTGTATGCCTCCTTATAGGAGCCCTGAAGTTGTTCTCTTGCAATCTCCTTTGCCCGCCATGCCTGAGAATAGTTCAGTGTAATTCCGTATTCACGCTTGATATCAGTGGCGATATCCTTTGGTTTATAATTTGGAGAAACTTTTAGCTTATCCTTTATGATTTTTCCAACCCATCCCCTTGTTGCTCGATATCCAGCTTTCACAGCAGCCCCTTCACATGTATGAGTTGAATTCATTTTCTTTATACAAACTAACTGAGTTGTAGCCAGCCTTGATGCATATACGCGCCAAGGGCAACCTTCTGCCTTGCATTTCACAGTGACACGATGACTGTCATTTTTCTTATACTTGTATGTAAATCCATGGGCTATTGAGTATTTATGCAAAGCTTCTCGGAATTCGGCAAAACTACTGAACCTTTGGTCGACACCAGTTATTGTGTTCTCCCACTGCATAGCAGCCCTTCGGTGCCTCTCGTCGTTTATAACAGAGAAACCGCCTAGGGGGCTCAAATCAATGGGAGTGTCAACAATGATTTGGTCATCAGGATTGATCAAATCCATAGGTGTATGAGGAGTCAGGGCGTTCTCTGACACAGTTGTCCTGCTCGACCTGCATAAAAGTGCAATCTTTAGGGTAGGTCTGGATCTCGACACATTACTAGTGAAGGAAATGAAACGCTAAGAGAAGTTGATATCTTGTGTTTGTTTTTTACCTAGGAAAATGCAAAGGAAAATGATTTTATTATGTTTTAAAATTGCATACATATGCTTAAATTTCATTGGTCTCCATATAACAAAAAAGGGAAAACCGGTGCACAAAGGCATCACCGCAAGGTTATGGTCCTACCACAAGCGTGTAAGAGGGGGAAGCCATCCCTATCAAATTTTGACAAGAGATTGTTCTCAAGATTTGAACCCATGACCTCTCGATCATATAACAACACCTTAATGCCAAGGCTCCCCTTCGATCTTTATATAAGAAAATAGATAAATTAAATAAGTTCAAATGAGTTAAAACATATATCAACTAAAATATATACTTCATTCTTTTTCAGTTGCAACACTTCCATTTTCACATTCAATAACGCGCATCTTTGACAGTTGAAAAAATTTCAATCTCTATAGGTAAAGAAGTTCAAACTTTTGAAAATTCAAAAATGGGACGAATTCAACAATATATTAAAAATAAAAAAATTCCAATACATTTGTAAATAAAATGTAATCAGAGTAGAACATGTAAATAGTGTAAAATTCAACATGTTGCAATCATTTACGAAACGTGGAAGCATTGGAAACTATTATTTTGATATCTGTGTTTCGTTCTTTCTTTATCCGAAGCGAAGTAAGATATAGGAGAGAAAAACAAAAATAGGTAGGAAAGCTATAATTGGAAACTACGATGTAATTTATGGAAGCATTGGTTTTTACATTCCTCTTAGTCTCGACTCTAGGAATAATATTTTTCGCTATAGTACATTGACTGTGAAAATGCTTTATTTTGCTCATTACAAATTTCCCACTGCATTTTGTTACCCTGGCATTTTCCGAGTTCCATACTGCCCCTTAAGTAAGGTCTAATTGATCACATTGCAGAGGGAAAATTGTATAATCCGAAAAAGGGTATACCTGCTGGCAGGCATATTGGTTATGTTACGAATAGCAGCTTCTTCTGGAATTATAAAAACATCAACTTGATCAGAGTCCTGAAAGAAATTGACCATGCGCTTCAGATCCTTATCTTTGGAGACAGTGATGAGTGTTTTCTTATTCCCGGGGAGGAAATACTTTATTGTCATCCCATTAGTGACACATTGGAAGGTGTCTGATAGTTCTTTCTTGAAATCATCCAAAGTGGTCTGATCATCCAGGTCCAATGCATAGGCCTCACCGCCTATGTATGTCAGAGAACTGTCCTCTTTGTTGGTCACAAACTCTCCTCCTGATTGGCAAACAGCTATGATTTTCTTGGAGGCCATCTCCATGCCAGCAGCATAAAATCTTCAAGAATGGGTACTGGTACAAAAACGGAAGAAAATATCTAGTACATATAGGAAATTCCAAGCAATTGACCAACAATGCAATGCTCTATCTACGGAGCAATTCACAGGTAACATCAGATGGAACAAAGAAAGTTAAAAAAGTCTAAGACTTTATATACATAAACATGCAAGTTCCGGGAAAAACCCCTAATTCATGTCCTTAGTATCTCGAAACTTAAATCTAGGGACTAACATTGAGAACACTGAACACTACAATCGTGGAGACGCAGAAGCATAATATCAAGAATTTCGTTACTTAAAATTTTGTCAAGTAATAGAATTCGAGAAAATTCATGGGACAAATCGCAAAATCTAATTCTTTGGGTCGAGGGGAAAAGTAAATTACCAGTACATGGAGGGGGGGTTTTGACTTTCAAGGAACTCACTAAATTATAGATTTGCCGCACTGGGATCTTTTCTCACGGAGAAAGGACGACGTACGGCGTCAAAGAAATCGACGGTGCATGCGCCGACCGGAGTTGAGGGTTGAAGCTGACCCAGTATTGCTGCACGTCTGGGTGAAGATTTGATTCTGGAGAGGTTTGGGGCTCCGATGTGAATAAACCTAAGATCTATTCCTTGTTTTGGGCCCTGATATTCAGGATATTGTCACACGGCCCCTTTACAAGATCTCTAGTGGAAGTTCAAAAAAGATTGACATTTTTAAAGCTCGTTTAGTAACACGAAAATCGGCTGTTTTAATTGATTCTTCTGAAATTTATGAAAATCTGCCTTAAGTGACAAATTGGCTGATTATGTCGATTTAAGAAAGAATTCTTTATAAAATATATTTTATTAATTAATAAAATAAAGAAAAAATTATATGTAAAAATAGCTAAAATGGTCCTCTACAGTAACTTCAGCCAATACACCCAGAAAAGTAACTTCAACCTTACTTTTTCTGCTTATTACACAATTCAGCGCGTGAAAGCAAACTTACGTGTTTGGTGCAAAAGTTGATTGATAAGCCTGATAAGCCGAAAAATAGTGTTGTCAAACGGCCTCTTAAGCTATGAATTATTGTGTCATTTACACCTTTGGTCACTCCAAATTGCCCACATAGGGTATTATCAAATTAGCAAATTTAATTATTCCACTACAATTTTGATACAATATCAGGAAGACAAAAAATGACATTATAATAAGGGAAAATCCTATATAATAAATCATATTTTGAAAAGCATTAATGATACTAGGGAGTACTATTTGAGAAAACTTGATAGATTTTAAGAATTTTTTCTTATGAAAATGTATGAAACACAATATATAAGAGTAGAAAATAATCAAATATATATAAGTATCTTTTTTTAAATGATAAAGGTGAAAATATTGTAAACGGATGAAATATTATTTTCCAATAATTTCAATCAATTTCAACAAAATTAATCAAAGGTATGACTTTGAGATCAAAGTTGACAAGTTTCCAAACATGATAAGTTTTTTATTTTAAAGTTCAAAGTTTATTTTTCAACCGTTTGAGTTTAGAAAAAATGGTACATATATTACTATCGAAGTTTTCAATTCCAAAAGGTATGACTTTTTTTTGTTTTTCCAAACCAATGACTCAATCACATTAGTTATCCATATTTAACATAACATTGATTATTTTAATATTACATTTTATTAATAAGAGTAATTAATGTCGCCCTACATTCTCCATCCCCACCCACTACGGCGCCTTATCGCTCTATCCGCCCGCTGTCACTGTCACTATTGCGCGCTTTTGACACGTGTCAACCATAGCGACAACAGTTTCTAAGAATAGTCACTAGAAGATTACCAATATAAGATTAAGTCACTAATTTGTTGTACATTTAATGGAGTCACTGTATCTTCCAAACTTAATTGAAATTGCTAAAAAACAAACAAAGAATCTCCCAACATTTCATTGACACACACAGTCTCTCATGTTTATAACTAATTTCAATATCTAAAATGTACATGGGGTGTTTGGTAAAGGACGTGTCAGCCAAAAAATGACGGTTTGAACACTTTTAGCATTTTCAATAAGTGAAAAAGTTGTTTGGTAAATAGTTGTTCGGCACCAATGTTTTTGGAGAGAAACGCTGAAACGAAAATGTTGTTAATATGAGAGTTTTGGATTAACGTTTTGAAAAATGGTGTTTTCTACTAATTTTATGGCCAAATAGCCACACTATCAAACATCTTCTAGCAATCCGCCAATTTATTCTGCTAGTCAAACCCACTGTTCCGCTAACATAACTCCGTTGAATGCCAAACAAGCCTAGAAACTTCACTACCACTAAAATCATGATTCATTACTTAACCCTTTCATTATAACTCTAAGAGTCTCAATCAATGACTACATACCCCCCAATGTGATTGTTATCCATTATCAAAACTTACTTTAAGAATTAATTTCACCTTTGGTCATACGTGTTTTGTGCCAATTTCACCTTTAGTCCACGTATTTCACTTTGTCCACTTTTGTTACTTGACTAATGTTTTTTAACCATTTGTGGTCCTTTTACGGCGATTTTAACCATCGGAAACAATACCGAAAGGACCATTGATGGATGATAGAGATCCAAACATACAAAATGGGGAGAGATTGAGCTATGAAGTAGAAGATGATGAATAGCTAGATTGTTTGTGTAACTATGTTCTATGGAATTATGTTTACAAGAGGCTCCAAGAGGAGTATAAATAGGGAAATCCGGGTCTGGGCCTCTAATATGGGCCCAACAGACCCGGTTACATAAATGGACTGATGATATAAAAGGATACAAATTGAACTGAACAATAATACAAGCAATATCTGTAAGGCGTGTGTGGCCGCTGTCCAGGCCCAATAGTCATGAGACCCGGGGGTCTGAGTCTATATACTTTATCAGGAGTCCCCCACACCCTGAGTCGAGAGTACTCGAGGCGAAAGGGAGTAGAGCTATGTACTGATCTATCGTTTGGTGAGTAAACTTCGTGAAAAATTTTGAATTTATGCTTCTTTGGTTAACGGAGGCGCTAAGTCCCCCACTCCTTGAGGTGAGTGACTGAGTGTAGTGAGGTGAAGAGGAGTAGAGTAGTGCATGTCTCGTGATGTCTTCAATAGGGGCCAAGGGTCGACACCTTTTGTCCACGTTGTGGAGATGCCTCGTTAAAAACCTCACTAGGAAAAAACCCTGTTGGAAAAAATCCAAATGAGGGAAAAAGAGTACATCGGATGCCCCCAAAATGAAGCAAAAGGGGTGAACCCTTCGGCCTAGGCATGGAACTGCAATCATCGGCATCTGCTGAGGGGATGGCCAAGGCCGGTCTTCGTATGTGCGTAGCTCCGCACGACAGGTCGTCCTAGTCATCAAATAAAGATGAACAAGAGATAGGTCGAGCGACCGTCCTTAATGATGTTCGGGTCTTCAAATAAAGATGACCAAGAGTATGGCCAAGAGGCCGATATAAAATCCAAGTCATCATTTAATTGCACCTATGCATTCAAATAAAAAATGTTATAATTTCTTGAGCTTGTAATTTGCTATTGGATTTGGACTTACATTAAGTGGCCTCAAATTTCCAAGCTAGGGCTCAAGCTAGACTTCTATGCTTAGTTGAGTGTGGCACACGTAAAGGACTAAACCTACACCCACTCGGGGATCGCAGTTCGAATCCGATAGTTAAGGGCACACACATAACTCATACATAACATAGAAACTACAGTGCGTATTAGATAACATTTGGATTTGGAGCTTTTTATCGCCACACCCGTTTGACGTGACCCGGTGGCGCAAGTGTGTGTGCTCGCCTGGTGTACGCGAGTGCTCGGAATTCATAAGTCCGGTTTTTCAATGTCCAAAAATACACTCTATTTTAAAAATAATGATAAAAAAAACAATAATCTAGCTCAACTCGTCACTCAAGTTCGTAGTTGGGATCCGCCAGACATGCGCATTTAAGGGTCTTTTAACGGATGACTCACCCCTCGAGATTGAAGTTTGATGCTATATTATTAAAATATTTCATTTTAGATTTTTGTTTTGTTTTGTAATTTTCTTTATCAAATTTATTGCTGGAAATTAATAAATGGAAGGAGTTTTGGAACACTCAGCTTTGGTATGGGCTGAACTCCTAATGTGTTGTTGAAATTGTGGCCCAATATCAATGATGAGAGTCAAATTTGGGCTTGGAGTAGTCATGGCCCAAGAATTAAGCCCTAGCAGTTGTGGCGTATGCCTGGTTGAGAGCTAGCATTCCCAACACTATACGCCAAGCTTCTGGTTGACAGAAGCTCAAGAGAGAGAGGTTCCTTAAGCCATCACCGCTGCATGACAGGAGGGTTGTGTGGTCGCAGTTGCCATCCCTAAGACTGAGAATAGTCAGCGTCGCTGGTGGAGAGCCGAAGAGGAAGGGAGGTTCCGGTCACTGTCATCGTCAGACAACCGGACAGGGGGGGAGTACCCTTGATGTCAGTTGCTGCCCTTCAAAGTTCTTGGGTTCGCCGTCATCGGAGGGGGTGAGGAGAGGAACGTCGGAACTACTACTGCTCGGTTCACTCTGACAGGGTCTGCAGATTCAGGTCGTGTCTTCCGGCTAGAGGCATGCCTTGTTCCTCCAGGAGCATTGAAGCACCCATTAATGGCGATACCTGAGGTTGAGCTCCAACAACCGACGGAAATACAGAGGCAGAGCGAGGTGGGAGGCGTTGAGACAGAGCCGGAAAAACCCAAGCTGATAGCATCCAACGATGGTGATTCTCCAGCTCAGCGGCTCAAATCTTAGAGCGGTGGGGCTCTCTGGTGCACAACGGCAATGGATACGGTGATAACATCACTGACTAAGGCTTGTTTTGTTGAATTTCCAGCTTGTTTTGGGGTGGTTTTTTCTCGAGATTGTCATGAATTTTTGTATTTTGGGAGAGGAATCTAACTTGATTTTTGCTCAAACTCTCAACGAGAGCACCATTGATGAATTATAGGGATCCAAACATACAAAATGGGGAGAGATTGAGCTATGAAGTAGAAGATGATGAATAGTTAGATTGTTTGTGTAACTATGTTCTATGGAATTAGATTTACAAGAGGCTCCAAGAGGAGTATAAATAGGGAAATCCGGGCCTGGGTCTCTAATATGGGCAAAACAGACCTGGTTACATAAATGGACTGATAATATAAAAGGCTGATCTAGTGGATACAAATTGGACTGTACAATAATACAAGTAATATCTGTAAGGCGTGTGTGGCCGCTGTCCAGGTCCAATAGTCGTGAGACCGGAGGGTTCGAGTCTATATACTCTATCAACCATATATGGGTGAAAATACAATAGTCATGTATCAAAAGCGGACAAAGTGAAAGAGGTGGACTAAATGTGGAATTGACCTAAAACTCGTAGGACCAAGAGTGGAATTTATTCGGTGACCGTTGAATTATAATTTTGTCACTACACATTCAAAAAAATTGTCACTATGTATAATATAATGATATGCGAGTCTCTTTTAACACACAAAAGAAATACGGAGTAACTAATATAGTCAGTGACTTATTCCCGCTCAATCACTTTGCACATTCGTCTATATTAATAATGCTTCTTGTACCCACCCCTTATATACACCTTATATACACCTCTGTGAAGACTTTTTTATCCGTGGGTC